CACAAGGCGAGAGGCGCCTTCCTGCAGCTACGGGCCCTCTCCCCCAGCAACCGCTGCCCCCACAGGGAGCAGCTGGCGGTTGGAAAGACTCGCTTCCACCCACATTGCAGCAGAGATGATGCCAGCTACTCCGCGTTGAAAACCCAGGCTGAAACCTACCCAGGACAAACAAGAACAAGGCTTCGAGATTCTATTAGGTAAAAGGAACACGGAGTCCAGCCAAGTCAAGTAGGCCGGTGGACTGTTTCAATTGTATTTTACTCTTCATTAGATTGTTCATCTGAGTGTTCATATTACAAGATTAGCTGCCATGGCCCACAAATGTATGGGACTTCAGGAAAGCCCTCCACTTAACTCAAAAGAGCACAAACTCGTATTTCCTTTCAAAGAACTTTGTGAAACGAATCTTTAAATAGTGCTAAAATTTCACATCATCTACATTAGTCTTGGTTTTAAATAATTTTACCAACCATTACAAAATTAATGTATTTGCATGTATCAGGTTACAGGCATTTGCATTTAAATCAGTGTGAAGTATCCCGTGCTGGAACAAGAAGTTTAAGCCATTGCTGTTTCAACAGCAGCCAGCTCATTCTTACTGCCTCAGAAGGAAGTCTGCACAAGTATTGAACAAGAAAATGCAAGGCATTGTTTCCCCACAAAACTGTTAAAAGTCTGTTATAAGCAACAATAAAACACCTTCTAGACAGAAAGCATTTATAAAATGCAGCACACTCCCTCAGCAAAGTGCTTGCACAGCGGCATTTAACTTCATTCTTCCCATTCATATTAAAAAACCTGAAGTGATCATTTACCAGATGAAGAGGGTACGTGTCCTCTGAAACGTTTTTTACTTGCTTGGGGCAACTAGCAATCGCAGATACTTCACTGAATCTAGCAGCTGCTGAGATCAGGAGAAAAGTTTTTGAGGCAAACTTGTACAGTTAAAAATATTCAGGGAAAACTACTCGAAGCTGCTAACTCACCCTGCGCTTACTCCTGAAGAACCACCACTCTGACACTGCAGACTTCACATTGTATTAAGCTTGCAGCATTCAAAATCACAAGTAGGAAACCGCTCATGTATTCCATTCCTTTGTATTTAACCCATCTGTATGTTTTACACATAACACCAATCATGCCCACAGGTGAACTGTTTCAGCCCCCTGTTTGTTAAAAAAAGAAAACAATCACTTCTATTCTACAGAGCTTAAATCCCTGAAGACACTATACCGTGTATAGAAGGCTCTAAATTTTGTGCCTGTACAAGCTTGATGCAAATAAACACACAGTAGATGTTTATTGTGCATTTTTCCTCCCCTTAAGTTTTATCCCCTACCCTCCTGATAACCAAAACCAAAGTATGAATATGTTACCAGCACATGTGGACAGGTTTACAATCTTCTCTTTTTAAAGAACAAATGACAAGAGCATTCAAGAATATTGCTTTTGCTTTTTTTTTTTTTAAACAGACAAGTAGCAAAAATTTATACCACCTGGAATAAAACTGCAGAGACAAAGCTCTCTACATACATCTGCATGTTGCTGTAATACTTAAGTAACACCAATGCAAGGAACATTTCTCTTAATGGCTACCAGTGTTCAAAGAAGTGTAGTTATGGGGTTAAGTAGGTCTTTGTACCCTGTGAATTAAAATTCTGCAGGTGGCACTGAGATGCTTCTCACAATGGAGTCACATAGCTTTCACTTTGATTTGCTTCATCTTCATCTGCTTCTTCTCAAGTTTCTTCTGCTCACGCCGCAAAGCAGCTTCCTGTAGGCAAGGACATATAGATCTGAATGCACATCGGTGTTCTCTTCAAAGAGCGAGCTGATCATTTCAGAAGAGCCAAACAAAAAGAGACCTCCAGTACTTTGGTTCATGTCCCTCACTAGGATCCTTTGCATGTTCCAGAAAGCAACAGCATATACCCTGAAAGCTGTCTGCCTTCCAGCAAGTAAGAAATCAGCCAGCTGTTACTGGTTTACCTATGGGTAGCCCTGGAGGTATCACAGGAGAAATCTGCCAGTAGAGCTTGTAATAACCTGAAAACCCATCTCACCTCCAGCCGACGCTGTTTTTCAGGATCCTCTTCATTCATGATTCGCTCCTTCTCTGCCCGTTTTTTCTCTTCTCGGCGGGACTGGGCAGCCTCCTGTCTTTGCACGTGAGTCAGTTTAAGGAAGTTCTCTTCCACACGAGCCCTGTTCTTGTCAGCTTTTTGTTTACCCTTTTCACAGAGAAAAGCAAATGCAGTTAATACAGATTTCCCCATGACCAGGATGCTGTATCTCTGGTAGTCATATTAGAAGCATAAGGCTCCCAATCTTAAGATTAAGGATCCAGTGGTAATGGTTGCAATTTCATACAACATTCAGAAGACAGAAAAATATACACTACTTACCTCTCTGTTCAGACGGAATTTCTTTGCTTTGTCAATAGAGTAGATAACCATGCTCATCAGAGGCAGCAAAGACTCCATGTCCTTCGGGGAAGTGTTGCCTGAACCAGGCACTGAAATAAAGAGTTTCTTGTTACTTCAGGATTTTTGTACTTGCTATAATGCTCGTCCCTTATTACTCACACCATTCATGAAAAAAATTTATTTTTATCCTCTTTAGGAAGGGCATAACTAACTAAAAGAGACATTTAGCTTTGGAGATCGCATTTAGATTCCTCACACAGTGACAGGCATATTTCCTCCCCACAATCCTTCTTAGTTTTATTAGTACAGAATACAAAAATAAGGGGTGAGTTCAGGCTCTGACGTTAGCTTCACTTGGGGCTATGGCCTTGAATTTTGAAGAGAACTATGGGCCTTTTCTAGAATAGACCCCCAAAAGGCTGTTTTTATTTCAAACCAGGGGTAACCAAGTAGCTCTGTGCAAGCTCAAACTGCAAGGTGTGTGGCTTAAAAGCAAGCCAGCTTCCAATGGTGACCTAATGCAACCACTAGTAAAGACAGGAGTATGAACTAAGATCAATAATAGCAAGATTGAGTATCCTATTATCATGACAATATGCTGCTTGGTCCCCAGTGTTATTACTGCCTTCTGTTTACTGGTTAATCAGTCAATGATCCTGTTACATGCACTGAAGTCACTCATCATATATTGTCTTCCACAGATGACAGAACTTGAGCATGTGACTTACACAAGTAAAGCACAACACCCCCAGATACACATACACCAGTTCTCTTACCATTAAATGTAAACAAAAGTGTCTTTTTAGTTTCGGGCAGTTTTGTAAGCTGACCCTCCCTGGTAGCAAAGAAAAAAGTGGCTGGAATGAGTGAATAAAAAAATACAGGTATACAAAATACATAACATTGTTAAGGAAAACCTTGTCAAGAACCAAGACATGCTTGCAAGCTACTTGAATAAAATAAACAAGATTAAAAAAGCCTGGCTGTAACCCAAATGTAACTTTCAAACTATTCAGATTCCTGAAGTCTTTTACTCAAAAGCATGCAGTGAAAAGGCATTAATGTAAAAACATACTAACAGCACCATCCAATCCAATCCTCAGAGGTCATCTAAGCCCTAAGAATCATAGAGTCATAGAATGTTTTGGGTTGGAAGGGACCCCTAGAGGTCATCTAGTCCAACCCCCCTGCAGTGAACAGGGACACCTTTAACCAGATCAGAAGGCCTGTATGTTTTTAATATGATACATTTTTAATGACATTTACTTATTCCCTGTTGTTTATACTACTACAGATCTTATATCAGTACCAGTTAGAAAAAAGAAGCCACAAACGCTTTCTAAAGCATTCAAGTCTTTGCTGCCCCAAACCCCACAATATTCTAATTTAAGATAGTCAAACCTACACTTCAGATCCCCCAAAGCCTAGCAATTTCAGTACAAGGTACACATACTGCTGTCTTTTAATTAAATCAAAATATGTTCCTTTTTTGGGAGGGCAGTTTCAAGTTTCAATATGGATCGTTTATTTATATGCCAGTGAGCATAATAAACCCTTGCAAAAGCCTACATGGTAATTCAGATAAGATAAATCGCCCACCACTTGGCAATTCTGAAGCAGCAGCTAAAAGCATCTCAAAACTAGGAGGCTTAGAGAAACAGAACAGATACTGCATGTGTGCATTTCTGAAGCACAGCTGAGAATCAACCTGAACAAAACTACCCAAGCAATGGATTCAGCAGCAGAATGTTTAGCCATTATCAGCTAGGGAAGGGCAGGCAGCCTTGATTTTTTTGTTTGTTTTTGTTTTACACTGCAGACTTTGCTTAAACCTAGTTCTCAATGCATTCAAATAGCATCTGAGTTAGTGTTGAGTTCTTCTCCCGCAGTGTTGTTTCTCAGCCCCTAAACTCTTAACATGCTATTGAATACCTTTAGTGGGATTACTCAGTTGTTTTCCATGCAGCTGTGTACACTGTAGCTGCCAGGTGTTATCTGAAATTTGTAGCTGCCCAAACTACAGCGTAACCAGCACACAAAAGTAAATATTACAGCAATACAGCACCTTGATCTTCTAAACTAATGCATCATTTGGAAGCATCGGGTGTATATTTATTCACCTGTTTCACCTTTGCTCCCAATTTCTCTTTGTGTGCATTCCAGCAGGCTTCACACTGCAAACAAGTTTGTCAGTCTCTACTTTGCTTAGTGTTACAATAGCTACTGGGAGGAGAGACCAAGCTTTATACATACTCTTGCATAAGTTTTGGACCGGAGAACTGGTCCGAGAATTGGACGGACTCAATCTTGTCAGCATAGTGTGTGAGGAAATGTATCATCTAGAAGAGAAACTGGGGTTAGTTTTTCCCAACGCCAACCCATTTGCAGCCTACCCACTCCGTACGGGTTTGCCGAAGTGTCCGTATATCACTGAGAGAAGTGCTGTGCTCAGCTTCCCACAACGACACTGAAATTTAAACTGCCGGGTTTTTTACCTTTTGCTAGAAGGGGCCTCAATGCATGGAATTAACATGAGCAACTCTGATAAAGATATGTAGCTCTCATTTGGGATTTTCCAATTCATTTGATAACACGTCAATTTTGAGGACCTGCAGGCACACCATCAACACCCTCCTTTGAACTGGCTATTGAAGCTAACTTCCAGGCTTTGAAAGCCAGTTTTAAGTCTGCAGTTCATGTTAAACTTACAGTTGCTATGTAAAAGGAATAAAGATGTGAGAATTACATAATTCTTCCAACCCTTAAGCTTCCTTAGGGTACTGATTTCTCTAGATCTCACTAGGGCCATTTGGCACTCCTGTTGTGAAGTTTACAGGAGATAAAGGTTAGAACTTCTTTGCATAGGCTCTAAGTTCCAGGGTTACCAAGGAATACTTGTACTAATTCATTCAAGATTACCTTAGCGTCCATCATTCCCTCTGTGACCTCCCCCATCTCCGACAAGATAGCCAGAGAATCTGGAAGCCCATATTTTGCACCAGACTTAGGTTTATCACTGCAGAACTCACTCTGTTTCAGAGAGAACAAGGGGAAAAAAATAAACACAAGCTTGTAAGTATCTTATCAGACTGAACTGTTCCAGCACAATGAGACCCCTAGAAGTACCTGATAAGAAACAGTAACAATACACTAACTCAGTCAGTCTGGCTGCGGAAATTTCAAGCATCAAGTAAAGCATGCAGTAGCAATAGTCTGTAAGTTAGTATTTCCCTTCAGTAGTGAGTACTTTAAGGAAAAAGATAAAACAATTGTAATAAATCCATGCTGGAATGGTCAGGGGCATTTTGCTTATATTGTTTAACAGAATAAAATAAACTGGCATCTTTAATAAAATAAACATGACACTTTAGTGCTGTTACTTGAGACAAGTATGAGAGAAAAGATTTGCAAACCACTGCTTGTTATCACTGGATTCTTTGCAAGCTTCAGGGCTTGAACATATGGAAAGTTTTAATTTCAGATTGCATGAAAGCAGATGACTTAGACCCAAACTTTCCACATCACACATCACTAATTTAAGTTTACTTTTCAATCCTTGAAAAAGTCATTTGTGCACATTAAATGAGGTGAAGTGACACTCGTGCATCTTGGCAATATACTTCAGCCTCCTCCTAAATGAACTATACACCAAAGAGATAAAAGCTGCTTTCAATTGCCTCTTTTCTCACAGTTCTGACAGCAGCTGGTTAACACTTCAGACGTTTGATGGCATTAGACTTTCATCCACTAGATGAAAATGTCTTTTTCCTACACACTAATTCCAACAGGTCAGTCACAAGTTTTCAGCCGTTCCCAAGAAAATAAGCTATCTACAGATCACAGGTTCTTCTATCCCATTATTGAGCATGTTAGTATTCCCAATGTGAACATACATACCAGGTCCTGCATCTCTTTCTGAAGTCGCACCAGTGCTTTTCTCGTTCCAACAGCAAACACATAGGTGTCCATATCTTCATCATTCATTGTTACTTTTATTTGCTGTGGGACAGAATGTTATTAGCCTTGATCAGATTTATATGATGTACTCTGCCTTCAAGACTACTGGCCAAATGGAGACCTATGACTTCACTGTTTGTCTGACACTGATTCATAAGAACAAAGGCTAAGCGAGGCCATATACAGCTAAGATAAAGGTTGTTGAATTAAAGCTTCTCAGTGTGTCTTAAAGGCAAGTAGCTTTTTTATTTTATTGAGTACTCAATTAAGTATTCTGGTGTAATGCTACAGTGTAGCGACAGTGACTAGAACAGCAGAGTTGTAAGACTTACTTGCAGTGCAGATATTCATTGCTTATGAGCAATTGCCCACATCTAAATTAAGTAATTTTTATGGATATAAGCAAATACAATTATAGATACATGGAAAGAGCATTCACAGAGCACACAACTACCGTTCTTCCAAAATGTAACCTCTCTTGGTATTTATGCGGTTAGAGATTCCCCTCATCTACAAGACCAAGGGCCAGTTACAGGATATAACATCCAGGCCAGCATATGCATTAAGTAGCTCTGTTCAAGCAGATTGAACAGACAGAACAATCATTAAGTATTTCAGATTGTAAAACCACTTTTTATCAAGATGAGGTCTTGAAGCATGATAGACTGTTCACAAAACCACTCAAACAATAAAACAATTCCCAGTCATCAGCAGTTTGCACTTCACAGGCAGAAAACAAATACAAACTATTCTTTCAGATTGCTTCAACCGTTACTGAACTGGAAGATATGGACTACTATACAAAGACACCTAGCAGTTCACTTGTGTGTCATAAGAACAATCAAAAGCAGAAGAAACACTGGAACAGGTTGCCCAGAGAGGTAGTAGAAGCCCCATCCCTGGAAGCATTCAAGGCCAGGTTGGACGGGGCTCTGAGCAACCTGATCTAGTTAGCAGTGTCCCTGCTCCTACAGGGGGGTTGGACTAGAAGACCCCTAGGGGTCCCTTCCAACCCAAAACATTCTATGATTCTATGAAGAACAGAACCAAAGGAATGCAATAATTTATCACAGCTAATCTTAAGGGCTGAGTACATACCACTTGGTCAGAAGCTGGCCTCATCATTCGCGCCAGAACGTTCAGTAGGTCTTGTCTCTTGAGAAACTAAAACAAGTTTGTAAACACAGAAGATAGCTAAATACACCTCAAGCGCGGTACTTCATTGGCAGATAGCAGTGGGGCTCAGGGAAAAAGAGGGCAGTTATAAGTAGATGTTTTTCATAGAATAATTCAGCTTTGAAGGGCCCTTTGGAAGTCACCTATCCTGCTCAAAAGCAGGCCTACTTTCTGCATTAGATGAGTTTCTCAGGGCCTTGTACGCTCAAGTTATGAGCTGAACCAATGTGTGGGGCTGTTCCATCCCAGGTGCAGGACTTTGTTTTTATCTGTTGTACTTCATTGGAATTTCTGTTGGTCCATTCCTCCAACACACTAATGTCCCTCCAAATGGCAGCTGGGCTCTTCAGCATCCACTCACCTCTGTTTATGCTATACTTCTGGTTTCTGTACTCCTTCTGTAAGCATTCACTCTTACCCACTTCGATGGGCAGAATACAGGTCTGTACAGACCTGTAGTCTGACCAGTCTTCCCTTCATGTGTGCATATTCAGAACCCTGTCTTGGAACGTGAGCAAAAGAGTCGAGCTAGGACTCCTTGTTCCTCACATTGGAATGGAAAAGCCTCTAGAACCTGAAAACTGGTGACAGCTAAACAGTGCTATAGTCTCACTCATCCTTACCTTTAGCTGGATGAGCATTCCTTCACAGCACACCCTTCCAGAGCACCACAAGTTATATATGTGTTCATTTTCTTGATTTAGTTTCCCAGTACTTGTAGCTTCTTTATTAGTGCCATCATCCCCTGAAGAAAACAACAGTTAAAGAGAACTGCAGTCTAAAAAAAAAAAAAAAAAAAAAAAATCACAAATTTAAACACCAAAGTTCATTAGCAGGCTTAGAGCTCAGTTGTTGCTGGATTACTTCAGTATCACTGTGATGTTTTTGAATAATTTATACTACATCACCATAATCTAATTGCAGGTCTGGAAGACTGGCACACTACTTGTCTACAAACAGAGCTGTCATTAGTGCTATCATGCATCTGCGTAGAAAAGGTTACTCTTCTCTGTAGCCTACATGCAGGTCTAAAGCCAGCTTTCTTCAAATAAACTAAAAATGGATCCATATTCATTATGGAACTCACCAACAAGAGCAAAGTTACTTTCCAGCAGATCCCTGTGAGTATTAAACCATGCATGAGCCAGACGGTTGTTTTTGTTCTTCCCAATGATGTAATTCATGATGTAAGCAAGAAGACCTGTAATCATCAGGATCTCCATGTAATAACTCTCCCAGCTGTTTTGAAGGTGAGCAGGGACCTATGGTAAGTGAATGGAGACTGGTTTTCACATATTGAATGAGTGGATTCCATATACACAAACAATTTGTAAAAGTACTGGGAAAGCTTCATCTCAAACACAGCAATAAGCTTCACAAAGGCGACAGGACACAGCTAAGCCTACATAATACTGGGGCACAGCAGTCATACAAGAAACAACTGATAATAGCATTCCCAAAAAAACTGGCTAATACAAACAAAATACTTCTCTCTTCCAAGTGAGCCTGTGCTAGCATCCCTCAGAGTAGTCCACAGCCCAGCCTTTCAACCCATTGACTATTTGAGCTTGATGTCCTGCCCATCACAGCATTATCTGATCACCATGTAACTTCTGTTGAAATCTAAAGTAAAACCCAATGTCTAGGAGCATCTTCAAGATGCGACCAAGAGCCACAGATTGTGTAGGGGAGCAGGGAGGCCTGCCTGACTCTGCCAGCTTCAGAGAATAATTAGCTGTTCTGCTAACACTGTATCACCCTTCAGTCATAAAAGTACCCAAGCTTTAATTTTCAGTACCAAAGTCAGACATAGTACTTAAGAAGAGATTTAGGGATAATGAAAATACAGGCCTCAAGCACTTGATCGTTCTGTAAAAGACTCTTGGGAGGCAATAAGGAGGTAATGCAGGGTGGACAGAGAGACTGGCTTCAAAAGCCCATCAGAAGAGTAAATTTCTAATCTGAAACTTTAGCCATAGATAAGCTAAAAATACATTATGTTTATTGTAAGCATATCATGATTGCAACCTCTTCTTCATGTGTGGACAAAGCACTCTGACATTCTGGGACATGTGGTTTTTCTCTGGATTAAATGAAGCTCATCGCTGTAGTTCCTCTGCTTCACCCCCAGAGCCACATGGGTAAAAGAAGTTAAGTGATAAAATGCTTTAGTCAAAACTATGTTTCAAAAGGTCTGCTTTAATGAAGAATTTCCAATTACAGTTCTCAGTTTGAGTACAGAATAGAGCATTGATCCAAGGATGGCAATTCTGTCAGCTTAAAATGGAGATCAACAGACCAAAGACACCTGCCCTGGTTCCTGGTACAACCTTCAACAGCCGCTATTTAAAGTAGCATAAACCATGCAGAAGAGCATGGAATTTGGGACTGGCATACCTGGATCATATTCTGCTGCTATCCTGTTGCATTATTTCAGTTATTTCTTGTCTCCACACGTCTTCCCGTTTCTGCACTGTCTCTTGTTAATTCAAGTAGCAAATTCTTTAGGACAGATTCTCTCTTATGCGTACATTTATACACCAGTGACATTATTGGCCTAACACCTTAAAAATAGGAGTGACGAAACACTGAACAGAAAGCAGATCAACATTTATACCTACATTAACTATTGTTATGGGGTCTTTATTTTTGCTAGGAGACGCATCTGGTTTCTCTTCATAGCCTTCAAACTCCTCATCATCATATGGTTCACTCTCAGTATCACCTTCCTAACAGACAAGATCAGAAACAGCATGAAAATCCCAAGGCTGGCAAGCAAAATCCAAAAAAATGAGGTGAGAAAGAAAGGTGTAGAGATACTATAAGGAAACACATAGAAGGAGGAGATGAGGCATTACCTGTGCATCTGTGACATCAAAGTCTTCCTGATTCTCATCCTGGCCTTCAAGCTCTACCGTGGCTTCTTCTTCATCATCTTCTGTAGTGATGATCCTCTGAGGAGACTCTGTGACTGCATCTTCGTTAACATCTTCAAATTCAGCAAAGTCATTATCATCATATTCCATAATGTCATCTCCATGCTCAAATTCATCATACTTTGCCAAAGAAAAATTCCATGGGATGAACAAGACAGCAATAAAGATATATAAATTCTTCATTTTCACTGAAAAAAAAAAATAATCAAGCATTGCAAAAAAATCCTTATCAATTCTATTACATCACACTTCCAGTAATGCCCAAGTTCCATGAACAATTTAAAAATACTATCAAGGGTCAGACCAGAGAGAAAAATAACACCCTGTCTGATCTTGCAATCTTCTGTATAAAGAAAGTGAATACTCTCACAAGAAAAAATAACTTTGAAAGTGAGGTTCTAGACTCTCTTGCTTGTAGCAAGAGCAGCTGAGGCAGAAGCAAGTTCACATCTGGCAGAGGTATTTAGAGGAGCAAGTTCTGGAAGCAGAGATGTTCTGCTATAAAACTGAGTCTCCAATAGCATCTCTCAGTCAGTCAGCATCTCCAGCTTATTTCAAAGACCACACACTGTGCCTACAGTTGTTATTAATTAGCAATTAGACACAGTCAGGTCAATGAATGTGTAACAGCAGCAGTCAATCTTAAAATAAACTTAATTCATTTACTTTAAACAGCAATGCTCCAATAGCCTCTGCTAGTTTAAAACTGCTCATCTTTGATTTTCTAGACTGCATGCTCAGAATCAGGTCCCACAGCATCCCAGCACTATTTCTGTTTAGAGAGAGAGACCTTTTGTTGTAAGGTCCACAAAAAAAAAAAAAAAAAAAAAAAAAAAGCAGGAAGAGGATGGATATTGCACTAGTCCCCAAAACAGAGAGAACTGGGGCTGATGAGACTAGCGCTCTCTCCACAGATGTGCCAGAAACCTGCAGACCGTTCGTCAGTTCTCTTTTTTTTTTGCCTTCAGCTTCCTAGGTCTTTTCTGCTTGATCTCAAAACAGTCCCTGTCTCCCACTCAGACTGTATATCACAGAGAATTATGAATTACTAAAGTCCAAACTAAGAGCCTCAAAAGGCGGTAGTAACCCTACTACTGCATTTCATAAATAGCTATGGAGGATCGGCTGCAACAGACTTGGCAGTAAGACTCATTTTACTCCATCCTGCAGTCAGATCTGAGTGGGAACTTGAATGTTGATGAGATTGTTCTCTTTAAAACTTGAAATAGAAACAATGTTTCTAAATTACACCAGAACTCCGAGTACCACATGCAGGAAACCTACTGCTATGAATGACACAAATGGCTAAAATAAATGCCTTTGTCAAAGACTTCTCATTCTAGCAAAAACCTGAACAGAACATGTTCACAAGAACATTAAACAAGATGGGAAGTACAGGAAAGCAGAGCCCAGGAATTTAGCACATTGCTCGGGTATGTCACAATTTTATGTGACTTTAAACAGAAAAACAAAACACTATTCACATGTAACAAAATTTGTATTCAGAGGTTAAAACACTAGGACAACACAGGCACCTGCTCAACCAAACGCCAACAGTTTCACAATAAGCATTTTGAGACTGTTGGAGTATATCCACTTTCAAAAGACCCTACGAGTCCATTTGCTTTATGCAAAATAAACTTCTGCAGCTGATTCCAAAGAGACAGTTGAACTAGAGATGGGTGAAAACTAGAACACTCTCCTAACTCAGCCGTCTCTGTCACAATGCAGAATGGGTTCTAAGTACAAACAGCTCCACGAAGCAGAACATGCTTTGGCAGGCCCTCCATGATCCACATGCCACCGACCTTCCCTTATGAGCAGAGCCGATTCACCCACCGATCTCCACACAGGCGAGAGGGAAGGGAGAGGCGCTGGGCCCCAGCAGGTCCGGCCCCCTTCGTGGCCCCCCGGCCTAAGGCAGGGACACTCACCGCAGGTGCTGCCTGGCGTCCCGCCGTAGCGTGGATCCCCTCGCTCCAGGCACACGCCTCCGCTCCCAGATCCTTCCAGGGACACAAGTCAAGGTTAGCCAGGCTAAAATTAGCTCCCTGCTTCTCCAACCGCCCCGGGGCGCGGG